CCAAAAGAATTAAAGCAATATATTACAGTGATATATGTGCACCCATATTCGTAGCGGTACAATTTGTAATAGGTAAAACATGGAACAGCCCAATTGCCCATCAACTGAAGACTGGATAAAAAAAATGTGTATTTTTTTTAAAAAATAAAATGGAGTACTACCCAGCCACCAAAAATGCGAAAGTAGAGATGTTTACAGCTAAATGGATACACACTGAGGGAATACTCATGTGTAAATACAAAGAAGTTTCTCTCTTGTGAGAAAATGAAAATGTATTTACATATTTATTTAGTCACTTAGCTAGATAGTTAGCTTTTGGTTTTTTGAAACATGATTTTGCTATGTAGTTCAGGCTGGTATTAAACTCACTATGTAGCCCAGGCTGACCTTGAATTTGCATCCATCCTCCTGCCTCAGCTCTGTGCTGGGATTATAGGCAAGAACCACTACACCCAGCTTGTTTGACCTGATTTAATAAACATTACATCCTGTATACTTGTATCAGAATTTTATATAGTATTTCACTAATAATATGCACAATTTTTATGATTTTATGTATTGATTAAAAATACCATTTTTAAAAAGACCTCAAAAAAAAAAAAAAAGCAAGGGCCAGGGATTTTTTTTAAACAAAAAAAAAAAAAAAAAAAAAAAAAAAAAAAAGACCTATCTCCTCCCCAATCTCACTGTCTTATTCATCACTACTTAAATCTCTGTGCTAACTTTTTTTTGGTACCGGGGATCAAACTTGGGTCCTTCTGTTTGCAAGGCAGGCGCTGGAACCACTGAGCTAAATCCCTGGTCCCTGTGTTAACTTTTGTAACACATCACAGCACGTGAGCCTGATATGAAGACTCCTTTTCCTGATTGTTCCAATATTACCCATCCTCTCAACACATGTTTCTCCAGAAGTACAGTCGTTAAACTTCTACTGGCCAAGTTTTCTTTTTTCCACTAGTAGCCTCAAGGATTTAATTTGTCCTCATACTCCAACCATCACTGCTTTGCAAATCATTCCAATGATCCTTGTTTTCAGTCCTGACATGTATATGGTAATACAATGTTATCTGTAAAGTTTTCCTCCATTGCACTGGAGTTTTGGTTTTACCTGGGTTGCCTCTTTTTGCCAGTGGTACAACCATACTATCACCAAGATTTTTCAATGAATCCTTTTTGCTTTGCCTTTTTTTCCCACTTGTTATTTACCTACCTTGCCTTTTTATCCAATGTTTGATGTATTATTTTAGGACTTTATTGTTCCTTGCATTATTAATTAAAAGAAATGCAAAATATCAATTAAAATCAAATGAAAATAAAGATGTGACACTTTTCACATGTAAGTGTAGGATCCCCTAAATTCTTTCTCTGTGTCACCAAAAGGGTCTCTGAATGCCTAGTTACCAACCCCTGCTTTATTATATCTTTACAAACTATTCTACAATATTAATACAGTGCCTTCTATGTGAATGTTTCTATACCTTCTAAATATGACCGCAAACTGCCTACCAAAATATTACCTAGCATTTCGGAATTATTTATATCAAATAAAACATGTTTTGATATTTCCCTTAACATTTAAATCACTTTTGTGAAACTTCAAATATTTCCTTTTTATTACTGATATCCTAAAATACACTAGTCTTAGAATATTTTTTCTCAACAGATTGAATAAAATAATAGTTAAGCAGATTTTCAAACTTGAAATTACGATTCTAGTAGCCACTTAAATTTAGTATACATTATTTAGATGTAACTTCTAAGTATATAGACTTAAAAATCACCAACATCAGGATATGATGCACATTTAAGTGTTTCATGTTACTGCAATTAGTTTAAGATATTGGATTTTATCCACATAGTAAACTCATTTTCTAGCTTAAACTTAGATATTTTGAAATAAAGGAAACAGTATTTTTATCAATAACTATTAACATTTGAGATTAACCTTGTTGATTAAATAAAAGTAGTATTTTGTTGTTATTGCTGTTTTAGTAGGACATCTATCCTACCAAATAAGTAAAATATATTAGCTATCAAGCCAGGCATGTCTATTGACCTATACTAGGCGAGATGATATTGATGTTAATTCATGATTCTGGTGAATGATGCATCCGTAATTGTATTTTTGTTTTTTCTGTTGTCACAGAGAGACAACCATGTTACATAAGCAACAAACCATAATTATGCAAGGATGGAGTTTAGCACTGTAAACAAATAGAACAACAAAGCTAATCTGCTGATACGTATTTAATGTTATGCATTATCAATGTGCTACACGGTAATTAGACATAAAAGGTAAACAACTCATATGAATGGCAAATTGGTGTTATTTTTGCATCTCTGAGGCAAACATTTCTGGGATGGGATGGGAGAAGCAAAGAAGTGATGATTCTAGTTTTTTCTCCTACATGAGAGAAGCAGTCTTTTGGGTGGCCTCAGAAATAATATAACTATTTCAACTCAGGAGCATCCTCCTTACTGGAAGATAATGAAACATTTGATTCAATAACAAACCTAATATCTCAAGTGAGTTGCCAGCTGCTTCTGTCACATGCTCATGCTACCCAATTTCAATTATAAGTATATCATATGTTGAACTGTTTGCTTCCTATAAGCTAAACTAAGAAAACAAGTTCTGATTGAGCAGGGCAAGGCATGAGAAAACATTTTAGAGTATCTGGCACTGAGAAGAAAAACAAGCTGCTTTTTAAGCTCTAGCTCTAGCAAATACACAGTATGAAATAAAAGGCAGAAAGTTGGTGGAACAAAGAAGGAAAGGGATAATGTGCTCAGATGTGTGAAAAATAGAAAAAGGTGAAGACTTAAGAAGGGAATGCAAGTCTAGACAACACAAGTCCAGGTCAATGAATACACTAAAAATAAGGAACGTATGGAAGCACAAAGTAGTTCAGAAGGATCTATATTGGTTCTCCTTCACTCACCTTCCCAGTGTATAATCCAAGATTTAGCATAATATGATTTAAAAAGCAGCTATTTTGACTGCGCAGTGGATAAAATTAAACCAGCAAATTCAAGAATTTAGACATAATTTACTCTCATCTCCAAAGAATAAGCAACTCAGTCCTCCCAACTGGACCAGGCTGATCCAATTTAATTAGAAGCAAATATATACTGTTTATGCTATAAAAATAAAGTGAAACAAAAAATCCCAGGTAAAAAATTTCTATATGCACATTTTAAAAGCATGTTGCATATAAGGGACATTTATGAATAGGAATCCCTGTTTGTGCTGTATTCCCTAAAGAGTTAAAAATACTTTAAAAATAATAAAGATTTATGAATGGTGCTGGCAAATAAATACAACACCATTTTGCATATTTATATTCTTTTTTCTTTACCAAGGGACGTAATAGAAAAGCTGTATTGTTTTAAAAGTAAAATAATGGCTACAACAATTAACTCTTTAAATTACAGTTCTATTTTCTTATAATTTGATTATATAGACTAGAGTAGAAAGACTCAAGTTTCCAAAACTAAATTCTCCAATTAAACAAGAGAAGGAAACCTGAGTCAGATTTAGATTTCATGCCTTCTTCATTCTAATTGTTGTACAAAAATTCTAGGTAGGATGAATATAATCAGCTCCCTATTTTAATCCAGGGAACTACTGACTTGCGTATAGTCCAGGTTTTATAGTGTATAAACACACACACACACACCCACACAACCACACACACACACACAAACAAACCATATCC